TTCAGCAAACAGGCAATTCAATCTTATTTAGACGCCTGTGACTAGTCATTGTTTGTGCATCTAAAAAGCCAGGAACACAGATAACACATGCTTGCTGAATTAGATGTCTTTTTCTTTCTTCTTTAACATTTTAACAGAACCACATGCTCAATTTGCTTAAAGCATCCTTCGGCTTTGTGAATTCAAACACAGCCACCTCTGCTGGGGAGCTGGAAGTGAAACAAGAAGCAGGAAGTATAACTGGCTGGGTTTCATTGATGGTTTCGCTCCCCAAACCAGCTCTGCGGTTCGGCTGGCTTGCCCCGAAAAACTCAAGTCTGCTTGAATGCCTTGTCTGCCAAGGCTGAAGATCCCACGCACAGAGTCATGTGATGTGCGGGGAGAGCAGGGGGAGATACGTCTGCTGTGTTAGGCCACGTGATAAAAGAGCAACCACAACGCAAGAGCGCAGCAGGACGCGACTTCTAGCAAGGCTCTGCAACACCTTGGCCTCTGCTCACCCAGTGCAGTAACTGCTTGATTTTATGTCCTTAAAACACGGTAAACAGACAGCAACCCTAACCACCCCCCCCAACTGCTGTGTCACAGTGAAAAGCTATCTCCAGCAGGTTACGTGGGCCCCCGACTCTCACTGACTTGCTGTACCACGGGAAACGTGTCTATGCGTATGGCCATAGTTTGCAAGGGAAAAGGGACCATCCTGAACGCTCTGCGTGGGCGACATAGGCTTTGAGGCCACAGTATGAGAAATCTAGGGTGGCTGGCAAATGTGGGAGCTGTACCTTTTACTGAGGGAGAGCAAAATGCACCAGCCATAGCTAAGAACGATGTTCCCTAACCTATAGGATATGACAGGTGACATTTTGCCCCAGAAGAGAAATGATGGTACAACAATTGTGTACGAAGATCTCAAACAAGCGCTTGTTCTCCTGCCCAATCCCAACCTCTACCTTTCTCAGCATGCAAGGGATTAGTGAGAGACCTGAGGGACGCAAGAGACTTTTCAGATTTGCCTCCAAACTTCCACTGAGAAGCCTGTGGGAGTAGCTGGGGCTGAGTGGATTTGGAAGGGGCTCTCTCATGTAGGTAGCAGGACAAGTTTTTTCCTAGATCTCCATGGCTGAGGTTGGTCCCCTAGACAGTTGATGAGTATCTCTGCACTTTGTTTACATTCTGGCTTTAAGAGCTGGAGCCCCTTGGGCATGCTCAGAAGCACTGGCTGGCCTCCATGCCCCATTCTGGCAGATACTTGATAGCAAAGCACATACAGGGCCGGGCATTTTAGGGGGACAGAGCATTTCAAGATGAACAGCAATGTTCAGAGAGACATGAGCAACAGCAAAAAGTAAGCAGAAAAGACACTTTTCAGTCTTTCCCCAGGCATCTTACATGCATGCCACTGGTGCCCCGAGCGGTCATGTTACAGAACAGGGCAGAGCTCACATACCCAACCTGCAATAACAACAGCCCAGCCCACCACGCACGTGGCAAGTAACACATCCCTTTGGAGTGAAGGCTGCATTTGACTCTTTTGTTCACCCTGGGGGTATGCCAGTATGGGGTGAGCAGGAGGAACGACGGAGGAGAGCTGGCATCAAAATGCGTAGCTCTGTGGCTCTAATATTTGCAACACAAATGTATGATCTTTGTTCCAGAGCCGCATCCTCCACAGCGGTAAGATTAGAAGTTTGGAAATGCCAGTGTTTTAACCCTAATGGCCTATCCATTTTTGCTTCCTGTTGCATTGTATTTTTTTCCCCTCAGTTATGGCTTGTTTAATCTGCTCTGTCTAGGGACAAAGTCCTTTCACAGAGATTCAAAACAGACCTAGGTGATCATTCATTAGTATCAGTTAAATGACTCTCCTGTGTAGGAGGTTATGTGGATGTAGGCAACAGGTTGCCATCTGATGCATCCCCGTGTAGTGTGGTCACAGGCAGATCCGTCGCAGTCTGCCTCAGATATTCCCGCTGCTGATGAATAAGCCAGTAATATATAACTCAGCCTATTCCCGACAGCCTGCCCTTTGCTCTGCAGGCCAAGCCTCATTAAAAGCTGGCTGGTTCTGCACTTCTCTCTGCTGAGGTAGAGGCAGCGTAGCAGCAGCTGTCTGTCAGAGGCGTCTGTCTCCGCTTGCTCACTAGGGAAGGGAATAATCCTCTGTTCCCCATTAGACCTCGCTCCAGTGGCTCCCCTCCCATTTCCTGCAGCAGGAGTGGCACCCCACAGCGACAGGGCAGCCAGGCGAGTAGAAGTACCTTCCACTCGCTTGCTCCAGAGCATTTTTCGGAGCATCAGGCTTTACAATAAAGCCAAGGGGCAGGATGCCTTCAAAAGGAATAGTTAAAGGACAAATGACATCATAGCCTCCGAAAGAACTGAGCAGGGTGCCCAAGACCCTGCCTGGCAGCTGTCGCATCAGGACCCAACCAACGTCCAGTCCTACATCCCCCTCCCTGATGGGGAGAGCAATGGGCGCATTAGGAGCAGGACCTCCTAGGGGAGCCCAAGACCTATATAGCTGGTTCAGTCCCTGCGAGGGTACTGGAGCAAATCACTCCCAAATAGTCCAGTCAGGTTAGAAAGGTAAGATTGGAGTCACCTTTGCAATCCTGCTTCCTTGAGCAGATCAGTGGGCAGGCACATCCCTGTCCCCTGCAAGACCACCATGCGGTTTAACTGAATCTCTCCCTATGTCACCAATTGACCCATAACCCCCAGGTGTCGGCATGCGGCCCGAAAGCTCAACTGTCCAACTGAACCTGCTGGCTAGGCATCTTCTCCCACCAGTACTTCACTATCTCTTAGGCTCAGAAACTGCCTCCACATAACTTGGTTTTGGGCCATACAACTCTGACTCATTTTCAAGCTGCCATGATGTTTAGCAATGTGTCTCTCTGGACATCAAGATGAGTTACCCCCATCTTCTGCCCCAAACACACTCCCTGCTGTTATACAGCCTTGGGAGCCAAACCCATGGATCCCAAAGTGACAAATCCAAGTGCTACCCCTGTTCTGGCTGGCTATTCTAGCACACAAACTAGCAGGCAGCGGACAACATTTGAGCCTATTTACCCAACCCGATGTTGGGTGTCCCAGAGCCTAAGCCAGTTCCTACCATCTTGCTCCCTTCACAGGAGAGCGCAGTGCGGTGCCAGCCAGCCTCGGCATCAGGGACATGCAGAGCACTTCCCTCACACAATAGCCTTTTGAGAAAGAGCTCTCAAGCGTGAGCCAGGGACTGCGCAGCCCCAGAGCAAGTCCCTGCCAGGGCTGGCGAGGGAATGGTGCTGGCCTCTCTCCCCACCTTGGATGCCCTCCTGTAGCATAAAGGTGCTAGGGTCCTCCTCCAGGAGATCAGGGCTTCATCCCCATCTCTGCTGTTGCGTCCTTCCAGGAGAAGCCTGGACAAGTCATTTCTCCCTCAGGAAGGGAGGAAGGACAACGCTGATCTGCCCCGTCACTCCATCAAAGTGGACACAGGAGCTATTTGTTCTTGAGAGGCAGCACCATTTACCTCTGGAGGATTTACAGTCGGGCAACACTGCTGTCTGGCTGTTGCCAGCCCAGGCTGCTCACACCACTGCTGAGCTGCATCCCCCTCGACAAAGACTGATCTCTGGCCAGGTCTCATCTTACACAAGGAGCATCTCTGCAGCTGTCACTCATCACACCCCCGGAGAGATGCACAGACAGCAGAAATACAACTGTTCTCAACGGGGTGGGGAGCAAAACGCACCAGAGGTGATCTGCGAGTCTGAAAGCTTGCTGCTCTTCCATCAGCTGGCCAAACAGAGGAGAATTCCTTTCCCCCACAGCTACAGTGCTGCTGCTACAAGCTTGTATAAAGCACTTCCATAACAGCGCCCACGTTACGCAAGGAGCTGGTATTATCAGGAAAACATGTATCTGCTTTGTGGCCAAGCTCACATAAAAGGCTGGTAGCCAGCAACAGATTGTTGGAAGTTTTGGACCAGACAGTGCAAAATACCCTTGTTTAGAGGGCTTGCTGAATCAGGCAAACATAGGATCATGTCCAGAAACATCCCAATAATGGCATTCTAAGGCCTAGGCCTCCTAGGACTGCTTCCTCACTGAAGAGGAAGCTATGTAAATATTCCAGTCCGTGGTTCATGTGTTCCTGATTTAAAGCTGTTTCGTTCAGCAGAAATTAAACCAACCGAGTGACTGGAACTTGGCTGGATCAGACAGAACCAAGTCCCAGCAGCAGAGGGATGCTTGAAAGCTTAGCTCACACTTTTTTTCCACTGCTACACATTTTCTACCATCCCCCCCTAGCCCTTTGGAAACAGCCAAACCAAATAATTGACCCCCCTCCCCTCACCTCCTGGCACTTAGAAACTGCAAGAGGGCTAAACAGAGATGTCTTGCGGGGACATTACCCACAAAGCTAACGGAAAAACCACAAATAAAAGCAACTTGAAGGAAGACATCTCTGAGGCAAACCTGAACAGGACAAGACAGAACGTGCACACAAGGAGATGTACGCAAGGAACGGCCCACGTACAAAACAATCATCAGCTTCAGCAGTGAAAGAAAAATCTCCTCTCCCATCAGTTCAGACAGATTAACCCCCACATATTTCTATATGGGAGAAGGTGGTTTTGCAGCACCAGGGTTGCCTAAAAGTGACTCTTCCGCCACCACCATAAAGTACCATTTCAGGACAAGATGAGACAGGGGAGTAGGGCAGGGGTGAAGGCAGTGCAATGGTCCACCTCCTTCCTTTTCTCCAGTACCTGGCTAAGACATACATTATCCCTCTGGTGCTCCTATCAGCCCCTATCACACACCTCTTCCTCCCTGGAACTCCTCCCCTTCTCCCTAGATGACTCTTATTTTTTCAGTAAGCTTCTTAAGGCCAACCCCAAGTAGCCACAGATGGCTTTTGAAGGGTGATAGGACTCCCCAAATGCCATTACCCCATCCTCAACAACCATTTTCAACCCTGCATCTTTGCTGATGAAGCGTCCCAGTACCTCCTTCCCAGACACGTTCTTCAGAAGAGTTACCATGGGCAGTGATTTCTGAGGTGATGCTTCCAGCCTCTGAGAAAGCCTTGGGGGCTGCCCAGTTGTACAAACCTCCTGGAAAAGAGGGAAAGGAGTGTTTTTCAACCTCCCTCCACAAAATGAACAAGCTAATATCCCCAGCCAGGACCTGGCATCTCCTCTCTGCCTCTCAGCCCTGCGACAGACCCACCAGGTACTGTGTGCCAGGTATATGCTATCTGGCATCCACACAGGGTGCTTTTCCCAGAGATGCTGCTGTCCCCTACTCCTGCTCATCTGCTGCCAGCAGGCAACGTGCTAGACACATCACCCCCTGCAAGTTTTACAATATCTTTGTTTGCAGCGCTGAGGTGGAAAAGAGATACTGCAGACTTCCGATAATCTATGGGTTTTCCAAGCTCAGAGATGGCTTCACATGAATACTTCCTCAGGCCCCAGCACAATGAAATTAGGCATCTATCTGGAAAGAGGCATTGGGAAGACCTGGGAGCCAGGAGAGTCTGATAGTTTACAGATAGTTTGGCTCCCACAGCCTGATAATGTAGTCAAACATCTCCCAAATAGCAATCACCCCCTTGTGGCTTCTCCAGAGTCCCAGGGCTTGAGTGGCACAACTAGATGGTAATGACAGCCAGGCTCCCCTGCACTAATAACAGTGTCCTGCTAGCCAAGAAATACACTGTAATGAGGGGCTGATGAGTCACTGTTTTACATGGGATAATTCAACAGACGGCACTATGTTCAACAGGAAAAAGCATTCGTTCTTCCCGGGATGCACTCTGCTGGCTAGAAGGCAGCAGTCCATGGACAACAGAGGGAGAGGGGTGCAGGATACATCCAGGCAATGTTCGTTCAGGATGTGGATGAAGGTCCTAAGCGATTCTGTATAGAAAGGGATTGACAGAAACAGTCGTCCACAGGAGAAATAGGAGATCCTATTCCTACTCTAACTAGCTAGGTAATGGCTGAGCATGCCAGAAGCAGCAGTGGTTGTGGTGAACATCTGGGTGCGGAAATGCAAAGCCTCAGGGAACTGAAGTGGGCCCAGAAATACAGCACACTTGCCTCCACCTGTATTTCAGATCCTTGAGGTCTGCACACAGTTGCCTACTGTCTGGGACCTTGAGCCTAGGGCTGCAAAGAAGTGCCTCTGGCATGTTATGGAGGGGGATGGAGCGGCAACAGAGCCACATCCCCTCCCTGTTGGATGTGGGGGTATTTTACACCATCGGCAAAGTGCAAATTATTCCCAGTGCTGGGCCCTTTACACATACAAATCAAGGCAGAAGGCATATGGACAGCCCAAGAGGCCAGAGCGTATTAAGTGTGCACAGTTTCCAGCCTGCTGGGGAAAGGCAGCCCGACGCTCCCTTGGCGTGGGGTTGCAATGCCCCTTGTTCATAATGTTGTCACCCAGCTCATGAACATTTCCATGCTGGATGGCTCAAGCCAGAGGTCATAAAACTGCAGACAGCAGATAAGGGCCATTCCACCTCCAGTGCTAAGTGCCATCAGCAACAAGGGCCACCAGACTTCAGATTTCTCCATCTGGAGCTGACTCAACACAAACGTATCGACTTTCATAGGAAAACGTCTCAGCCCAGCCTCCCTGGTGCTGTGGCAACCTTTGTGAAGGAGGGAACACCACCTTGCCAGGAAATGACAGCAGACGCCTTCTGAACGGCTGATGAGACAGAAGCAGCAGCTTTACAGCTGACCTGACCTCCTTTCCAATGTCTCCCGTTGACTCCCTATCCCAGGAAATGTCAGGTCTTGCCCCAGTGATGAGGGTCTCCAGTTGCTAAGGTGGAACTGAAATGAAAGGAAGTAATTGGAGTGGAAATAAAGATCTCGTCCCAGGGAAGCAAACAGGGAGTCCTGAGTTATAGCACTGCTTTGCAACGACTGTAACAGCACTGAAGACAAGATCCTAACCACAAATCACACCTAAACAGGGCATTCTGACAGACTGCACACAAGGCTGGAGTTGCAATTACTACAGAGATGTAAATTAAACCTATTTCGTGCTTCATGTCATCATTCCCTCTTCCACTGAAAGTGTTCAAAAGGTACCTCTGCAAACGAGCAGTCTCTTCATTCTCACCCCTTGGGATCTGCTGGAGAGTCCATTTGGTCCAGGCCACGGCTGAACTCAATAAATCACTGCTCTGACATAGCCTGCATGCTAGGATCCGTGCTTCCCATTCAACACTGCATGAGGCACGTGATGGGAGGGAGGCACAGAACCAATATTCAGAGTTACTAGGATTTTTCTCCAAACCACTAAAAAAATAAAGTTCTCTGCTGAAGAAGCTCCAAAACATGGAAAACATTGCTGACAATGTAATCTCCATTGCCCTATTCTATTATTCTTTTTATAGATTTAATAGGAAGTAGAAGCAAAGGTGTTGACTTTTCACCATCCTAGGCACGCAAGTGCTCCCAGCCACTGTGAAGCTAGTGCGACCCTGTGTACAAACCCTCACTGGGGCCCTTCTGCGAGGCAATTCCCAGCTGGCCGTTGTAGCACTTGCGTGTCAAAAGAGACAGTGAACTCCTGTGTGCATTTTGCTTGTTGTGCCTGGATGACCAATCCGGCCCACAGAACTCTGTACTTTCAGTGCAGTTTGTGGTTAACACTAGAGCTGAGGCACTATTTAGCGTTAATGGGTTTGCAGCCAAATCCTTCTTCCATATGCTGTACACAGTCGCTCAAACTCCAGCCACCAAGGTGGCTGGGAGATTTAAGGGGATGTCATCAGCATCATCAGATGTATTTATTGTTAAGCTGTTACAAAAGAGAACATTAAATTCCTGACACGAGACTGGGTTTGAACCTTCCTGCACTAGTTTAGATTTCTACTGCCTCCTTGTCCTTCATGTCACATACACACTGGGCAGGAGAAGAATATTTTCTTTCTGGCTTTATTGCTTTCGCCCCCTCTTCCCCCCACCAGGAGATTGCCCAGAACCAACTACTGAAAGCTCCAATCTGTCCAGGATTTAGCCAGGTGACTGTATTTAAGGAGTACTCATCATACCCAAGTCATCACAGAGACCAGCAATTGCTGGTTCCAGAAGCGACTGCGATTCACAGAGAGCTGGTAGTTGGGGATGCTTTATGACCACTTCAGAACTACACTATGCTCAGGATCCTGGGAGATGAACTCGGCATTGCCATTAGGAAGAAGAGAATAAAGCTGTAAAGGGAAGTTCCTTGATTTTTATAAAGCCTCGTTAAAGCTCTTTCCTTTCTTGATTCCTGCTTTCTTCCACAGATTTCTTTGCCTTTATGTTTCTGCAGGTAGTATTACTTCATTTCTTGCAGATGGCCCTTCTTTCACCATCATGGTGTTACTAGCTGCACCCAGACACTTGGGTTTGGTACAGCTGGCCCATGGCTGCGTGGCTGTCTCCTTCCTGGAGACAGGGAAGGCTCAGGGCCTGTTTTTCAAGGAAGGCTTTCTTGTTCCCGTTTAGTCAACTTGAGTCAAAAGATCAGCCAGGGAAATGCCAATCAAGTGATGGAAAAGGGTGACAGCTATAGGCTTAGCTCACAATAAATCATGCAGAGAGGGAAAGAAAGAATCCAGCTGCTTCAAACAACGTGCCAAGTGCCACAGCATTGCCACCAGGGTGCAAAGCAGGACCTAAAGCCAACAGTGGCTGGTTTGGACAGAGCGTTCAACGGTTCTTTCTAAACCTACCCGTCCCCTTGGTGGTGGCAGGAGGCTCCGGTCACTTAGTACCAGGCTGAGGCAGATTCAGGGAGATTTAATATATCACAGGCGTTTGAGGCAGGGGGATGCATTCCACTAGGGCGATGTGCCCAGTTCTCTGCTGTGACATGGAATGCGATCTAGATCTTTATAGGAAACAGAAAATTAACAATATCTAGGAGGAACATGGCCTATGTGAGCAAATAAAATGCTTATGCATAAGCACCATGGAACTTCACATTTTCAAACGGTTAATTCCTTCTACAAGCCAAGCTAGAAGCTTTCCAAGAGCAATTTCTCTTTGCCATTATGCCTGTCGTTCTTCTGGCCCCAAATGTCTGCTTGCATGCGTGATGCAAGTCTGAACTGCCAGCATTTCCATTCCCTCTCCATAAAATCCCTTTCCAGTCCACTGCTCAGCAGGAATTGCAGCAGAAGGGCTTGCGCTGGCAGTGTCAAGGCAGAGATCCCTGCCTGGATGCACAGAGGCTGATTTTCAAATGATGAGGCTACAGTCCTGCACGTGATCAGAGACATACCTCTCCCCTGAACACCCGCACTCTCGGTGGCAGTGTCCATATGCTTTCATGGTCCCATCGCTGGGGCAGGCATAGGCAAGCTGTAGCGGCAGTAAAACCCCTGGGCTCAGACAGCTGCATGGATTTGTCAAGCCGAGAGCCCAGCTGCACCAGCCTGCTGCCTTCTGTTCAGCTGCTGAGGCCAAGACAGTCCAAGCTGCCGGGAGGCCAAGCTGAACTTGCACAAAACCTGTTTGCAGTCAGGTCTAGTTCAGGCAGATGTTGTTTGTGCCCTCTGCACACAGGCTACCTACACATATACAAGAGAAAGCCAAGTCTCCCTAATGTTGTACAGCTCAAGAACTTGCCTGCTGAATACATTTCAAGCCATCTGGTCAGCTCTGTACATCTGGAACTGATGAAAACCTCACCAAGTAATCTTGGAAAAAATGCACATTCATCAAACCCTTCTCAATGCGCTACGTAGTCCACAGCCATTCCCTCTCTGGCTTTCCTTCACTGTTCTTGCCCCCCTTCTCTCTGTGGAGGCAACTGAGAGCGTCTGTCCAATGAGTGCCTTTCTAAATGACAGCAGTTATTAACCTGTGAAACTCACTGTCACATGATACTGAGCGAAAGGCATGGACTTTACAAATGTGTGGAAGAGATGCATGAACTTGCGGAGCAGGACTGCTGCAACTAACGGGGTGTGAACTAATTATGGCTTGCTGGAGGCTAAGGAGAAGTGTCTCCAGTACATAACTCTTCATCAGGAACTCCTTGGGCCTATTGCAACTGCATTTAGTAGCAGGCATGGCCTGAGGCCACCACAGAGCCC